CACTCCATGAGGCTTTGAAACAGAGATGAGCACCGCCCCCTAGAGTTGGGAACGACTAGCACATATGTGTGAGGGGAACCTTTACCTTTATATGTTAACACTTTGGACACTAGAAAACACACTGTTCAACATAGAAATGGAACTTGTGATATAAAACAATAAAAAATATTTCTACAACATTCAGGGTGTGAATTGATATAAATAAAACACAGGCGAAGCTTCGAATCACATCCTTGTGGCCCTCATCTTGACTTTGTTTTACCCCACCTAGTGGACACTCTTGAAACAAAGGAAGATCATGGTTAGCTCTGCTTCTTCCTCTACAGAATGACAGTGTTTATGCTTCCTGCCACTCTCAAGGCAAATTATAAGCTCACATTCAGTGGGGACTTAATCATTTCAGCTACACTTGGTCAGACCATGCAAAATCCTGCTTGTAAATAATTGTGGATGTTTTTTCTTAGCATTCCTATTGTACTTTGCTCAGCAGGGGAACAATTCAACAACTGAGAAAGATGTTTCATTATATTTCTAGTATGGTTGAAAACTAAAAGTCACGTGGCTTCACACTTTTGTGTGTGGTGTGCTTCTCAACAAGAGACAATAACATATATACCTGAGATTCCACAGGGATCATATATTCTGAGCCGTGGTGGCACAGTCGTTAGAATGCAGTACTGCAGGCTAACTCTGTCCAGTGCCAGGAGTTCGATCCTGACCAGCTCAAGGTTGACTCAGCCTTCCATCCTTCCGAGGTGGGTAAAATGAGGACCCAGATTGTTGGGGGCAATAGGCTGACTCTGTAAACCGCTTAGAGAGGGCTGTAAAAGCACCGTGAAGCGGTATATAAGTCTAAGTGCTATTGCTATTCTGTCAAATCAAACTCAATAACAATGTATCTGAGCTCAACTACACCAAAGAAACAAAATTAAAAAATCCTTACATAGAGGTCCATATGCTATATACATAAATCAAATCTTCTTCAACTAGCCTCTGGCTTCTCCTGATAATTCTATCGTCCATTAATACATTCTTTAGGAAGCCTTCATTTTGTCAAAATAAGCATGTGAATGCATAAGGAAAAATCTAGCTAATAACTGTGCCCCTTTAGATACTGACTTACTTCTGGATCTTCTGGAGAGATTCCTCCAGCCCAGTGAGCTGATTACTACCCAGTTTTGATCTACTTCAGCTAGAGCAGGGCTGTCAAACTTGCAGCCCACTGGCCAGATGCGTCACTCACTGGCCACACCCACACCTGATTTAGCGAAGGGGGAAAAGTTGTGATACATCACGTGATGCCGCCGTGACTACGCGAGTTTGACACCACTGAGCTAGAGCAATGATTGGGTCATAAGTGCTTCATTACTGCTCCCAGTCATAAATTGGACAGCTGTGACCACTCCACATAAAACATATCCATAAATGGATACTTCTTTGGGGAAGCAAAATTTCTCCAATTTCTTCATATTCTGAGAAGGACATTCGACTGGGTGTTTAATTAGATAGAATTAAGATCACGTGAAATGTTAATACCACTCTATAATGCCTTGGTAAGGCCACACTTGGAATATTGCATCCAGTTTTGGTTGCCAGTGTTCCAATAAATAACAGGTTGCCACAAAGAAGAGGGTGTCAAGCTATTATAATTATAATATAACATTATAATTCGATTCTATTCTAGTCTATTCTATTCTCAGCACCTGAAGGCAAGAAAAGAAGCAATGGACGGAAAATAATCAAGGAAACAAGTAACCTAGAACTAAGCAGAAATTTCCTGACAGTTAGAGCAATTAACCAATGAAACGACTTGCCTCCAGAAGTTGCGAATTCTCCAACATTGGAAGTTTTTAAGAAGAGATGGGATAACCATTTGTCTGGAATGGTATAGGGCAATGATGGCTAACCTTTTTGCCATTGCATGCCAAAAGTGGGGGGAGCACGGGGGGTCGCAAATGTCCACACCCACAATTCAATGCACCCCCCCGTGCATGCATGTGTGACCCCCCCCATGTTCCCCCCGTTTTTTATACGTGATGGCACTGTGGGCCCGGTAGGCCCACTTTTTGCCCTCCCCAGTCTCCAAAGGCTTTCTAGGAACCTGGAGAGGGCGAAAACAGCCTTCCCCACCCCCTGGAGGCTCTCCGGAGGCCAAAAATAGCCCATTTGACAACTTCTGGTGGGCCCAGAAGGCCCAAAAATCAGTTGGCTTGCATGCGCATGTGCGCTGCAGCTGAGCTAGGGCAATGCTTGCATGCCCACCGATATGGCTCCATGTGCCACCTGTGGCATGCGTGCCATAGGTTCACCATCACGGGTATAGGGCCATGATGGAGAACCTATGGCACACAGAGCCATCTCTCTGGGCACATGAGCCATCACCAGTTGCTCTTTTGGGTTCCTGCCTGCTGGCCAGCTGGTCTTCATGTGTGCGAGAGTGCCGGAAACTGGAAAAGCAGCCGCCCATGATCTTCTGGTTTCTGGCACACGCCAGAAACCAGACTGGCCAGCTGGACTTTTCACGCGCATGTGCCCCAGAAACCAGATGACAAGGTGGCCAGTGCTTATGCGCATTCCAGAAACTGGAAGATCATATTCCCAGCATGCACTGGCATGCACATCAGGCAGCTGCTCTTCCAGTTTCCGGCATGCGCCCCTGTTTCAGCACTCAGCACTCCGTGCTGAAAAGGTTCATTAACCCTGGTATAGGATTTCTTTCTTGAGCAGGGGATTGGACTAAAAGACCTCCAAGGTCCCTTCCAATTCTTTTATTCTGTTATTCTGTTAATTAGCAATCCCATCTGAGCTATTCACTTGGCTTCTCACAAACTTTAGGGAGACCTTTCCATTTAGACAGATAACAACACGAACAGACGCCATTAGCAATATTATGTTGACTTCTTGCAACTGATTCGAAAGTATTCATGTATTTGATATTTTCTGGAAATGTATTTCATCTGCCTTGTTTGATAGAATTCAGGCTCGAATGTAGAGAGAATACAGATTTTTTTTAAAAAAATGCAATTATCTAGCTGAAAGCCCATGAAAGCAAGTGTTAATTAGGCTTACAGAAACTAAAATACGAGGATGTTTTTTTTTTTTCTGATCCTTCTCTTTCTTTCAAAACATGTCAACATAATGTAGCAAAAAAAAATTTTTTTTTCTCATTCTGAAAGCAGGATTTATATCAGAAAAAAAAATTGTTGGGTGGGGGGGAGGAATATTGAGTTAGACAGCAGTTCCTTGGTGTTTTAAAGATGCTATCAGCATAGGAAACACTGTGTTAATGAAAGAATACAAATGAAATCCCTTTCAGTTAAGCTTTAATAAAATATTCAGTGTGTGCAGCGAGATCAAAAGTGAAAAGGTTCAGTACTATCTGCAATGGAGAAATGGTCGGCGAAGAAGGTAGAACTCGCAGAGACGGCTAAATTAACTTCTTTGATTAGAGGAAAGACAATTTCTACATTTATGGCTGGCTGGAAACCCATTATAAACTTTTTGCATGAAACAGAGAAAGATGTACTTTTATGGCTTGAGGTTTGGGTGATTAGAAAAAAAATGGGTAATAGGAAAAAAATGACCTTTTTTGTAATCATAAAGCAAGAGATAACTTTGCAATTATACTTGTATTTGCTGCAAAGGAAATCTGAAGCTTCTTTTGTTGGAAGAAATGTCCTTCTGGGTTCAAGTCCAAATGGGGAGAAAGACACTGGAAACATGGTGGCTGCTTGGAAAGATGGCTTTAATGGTGGACAGGATCACATGCCTTGAAGATCTTGGGTGAAGGGGGGGGAAGGGCCGAGATGCTGAGAGTGCCTGGGTTTTATGCCTTCTCTGGGCTTTTGAATTTGAGCTTGTATTCTGATTGGTTGTCAGACTCCCAGGGGGCCATGTAGGGGCAACTCTGTAGGCTGTTCTGAGTCCCAAGCTTGGTTGACTCTTGGTGGGTGATGATGTAATGAAAGGGCTTTGGGATTCCTATTATGGCTCTGCCTGATGGAGGTAGATCTTTGTTATGTAGAATAGACTGGCCCAGGCTTTAATGGCCCATTGACAAAGGTGTAGGGGGGCTGAGTTTCTGCCTCCCTTTTAGGGGAAATATTCTGCCCTTTTAATATTTCCCAAAATATCTCATTTTCCTAGGAGAGGGGTGGGTGCTAACTTCCTACACTTTCTTTTTGCAATTTGTCTGCTCTTTTTTTCTTTTTCTCACATTGTTCTCTCTTTTTTTTTCTGTATTGGTTTCTGTTAATTTTTATGTTCTCTTTTTTAAAAAAAATAATAACATTTATCCGGTATATGAAAAAAAAATAAAGTATCCAATGTGAAGGTTCCAGGAAAAATGACTTAATTCAGGAAAACTATCCTCATTGAGATTACACTAGCCACAATATCCTGTTGATTCTTTTTTTAACAGCAAAGACCATCATCAGCATACATTACAGGGGTGAAATGTTAGTTGTTTGGACCGGTTTGCCCAAACCAGTAGTAATAAATGCTACCGGTTCGGGAGAACCAGTAGTAAAAAAAATGCTACCAGTTCAGGCGAACCGGTATTTCCAACGATCAGCTGTACTGTGCGATTTAGATTTGCTAGAAAGCAGGAAATTCTGCTTTCTAGCAAATCTAAATCACGCGGCACAGCTGTTCCCCCCCTCACTGTTCTACTTGCCTTTGAAGACTCAGAAAAGGCTTCTTAATCCTCATTTTTCAGTGCTGCATGGTAGCGCCTGTGCACAAAGTGAGTGTTTGGCGTGCACCGCCCATGTGCGCACAAAGCGAACCGGTAACAGACTTCAGAGCATTTCACCTCTGATACGGTAGTACCAATCTCTTCCTTTCGGCAGGAACATCACAAAAGCCAGCAGCAGCAGGCCAAAGTGTCCAGTCTCCCCTCTTCAAGCAAGCAGCATCAACCCAAGGTCATAATAGCCCATCTCTTCCTGCGGGCAGCATCAGCTTAAAGTCACAATGGCCAGTCTCACTCCCTCAGTGGGCAGTATTTTCAAGCAGGAACATTGATGAGTTGCCCTCCATATACATATTGTTCAGAAGGCAGCAGTCACTCTGGGAAAAAAAACACACAGCAGCATGCCAGCACCAGCTTCTTCTCCTTCAGGAAGTGGCTAGCAAACCTTAATAGACAAGCAGTTTTCCAATATATTCATACCGAAACAGTAAGTAAGAGGAAAACAAGAAAAGGTGGATAGGTACCAGTGGTGGGTTTCAAATTTTTTTACTACCGGTTCTGTGGGTATGGCTTGGTGGGCATGGCATGGCATGGCTTGGTGGGTGTGGCTGGTGGGCATGGCAGGAGAAGGATACTGTAAAATCTCCATTCCCACCCCACTTCAGGGGACGGATACTGTAAAATCTTCATTCCCACCCCAATCCAGGGGAAGGTTACTGCAAAATCCCCATTTCTTCCCAATCAGCTGGGACTTGGGAGGCAGATAATAGATGGAGGTGGGACCAGTCAGAATTTTTACTACCAGTTCTCTGAACTACTCAAAATTTCCGCTACCAAAACTGGTTCTCCAAAACTGGTCAGAACCTGCTGAAACCCACCTCTGACAGCTACCCCTGTTATTACTACATTTCTATTTCCAGTGAGTACACAATGCATAAATATTGGAAGAGGTACAGAAAGGCTGAGATAAATCTCAGATATTGAAAGTGATCATCTGTCTACTAGAGTAGAATAAAGTTTGGAACCTGGCAGCTGCAGGAAGACAGGAAATTTAGCAAGCATAGGAATGGCATCCAGGTGCTTTATTTCTCAGTGCATGGTCTTAAAACAGACAGATTAAGTTTAATGGATTTTTATTTTTATTTATTTTTTTGTAATCTTGTTGGGAAAGTGATTCCCTTTCCAGTCTGCAAAACTCAGACATTCCTTTATGCAGACTGCAGATTTTAGAATGTGCACCTTCACGAGGAGTCATAGCTTTTTGTCATGAGGACTCACAGAAGTACCCCAGCCCCTCCTTATAATACAGGAATAGAAGATTTGTAGTTATTTGGAAAGACAAAGGCAGAAATGGAGAAGAAAACTGAAGGAAGGGAAAGAAAGGTGAAACAAAGTCCCCCGGTACCAGGGGTGAAATCCAGTGGGTTCTGACAGGTTCTGGAGAACCAGTAGCAGAAATTTTGAGCAGTTCGGAGAACCGGTAGCAGAAATTTTGAGTAGTTCCGAGAACTGGCAAATACCACCTCTGGCTGGCCCCAGAGTGGGGTGGGAATGGGAATTTTGCAAAATCCTTCTGCCAGGAGTGGGGTGGTAATGGATATTTTGCAGTATCCTTCCCTTGGAGTGAGGCGGGAATGGAGATTTTGCAGTATCCTTTTCCTGCCATGCCCACCAAGCCATGCCGACAGAACTGGTAGTAAAAAAAATTGGATTTCACCACTGCCTGGAACCTCTGATTAAAGCTGGAATTTTGAGGAAAAAAACAGAAGTCCAGATAACAACAAGAAATCTATGCAAGGAAAACGGCTATTTCAGGAGAAAGTTGTCCTAGCCAGAATATACATTCAATTCAGTGGTAGGTTTCAAAATCTTTTACTACCAGTTCTGTGGGTGTAGCTTGGTGGGTATGGCATGGCATGGCTTGGTGGGCATGACTTGGTGGGGGTGGCATGGCGTGGCTTGGTGGGGGTGGCAGGGGAAGGATACTGTAAAATCTCCATTCCCACCCCATTCCAGGGGAAGGATTCTTTAAAATCTCCTTCCAATCAGCTGGGACTCAGGAGGCAGAGAATAGATGGGGGCGGGGCCAGTCAGAGGTGGTATTTACCGGTTCTCCGAACTACTCAAAATTTCCACTACCGGTTCTCCAGAACTGGTCAGAACCTGCTGAAACCCACCTCTGATTCAATTGTTTGTTTTTTCTGCATGCTGCTAAATCAAGCCTAATATTCTTATCTCTCCATACAAATTATGAAAATGTACTATGTATTCTTAGTTTTGCATTCAATTTTTCAGATTGGGCGGGGTGATATAAATGTTGTAATCATCAAATAATTGGTATATTAAGTTCCATAATTCCCTATCTCAGGAAGAAAGCATTCGTTTATGGGATACCCACAACACCTCATTCTAGGCCTGGAGCAATTGTTTTTAACATTTAGGGAGAAAAAATTGTTGACCTGATCAAAGTAATCATGCATAAAATGAGTTGTGAGGATCCTTGGTGCTTTCTGAGCTTGGTTGTTGACTTCCACATTTCAACCCTGAGTTACAAATATTCTCCTTTATTGACACAATGCTGTACAATGCTGAATATGCACATTTTAAGATTTAGAATTAAAAAGGGATTAGGAGTATGTGTGTGTGTGTGATATACATGTGTTTGTACTATGCTGTATGTATGTATGTACTGTATGTAAGGAGTGGTGTGGCCTAGTGGTGAAGATGCTCACCTCCTGCTCTCAAGGTTGGGCGTTCAATCCTGGGTAGCAGCAAATGTTTCTCTTCTAGGGCACAAAGAATACCTATCTGCTGTGAACTCCGCATGGTGTCAGGAACGACATCTGGCCAGTAAATGCTCAGTTCTGAGCAGTCACCCTTACACTACCCAAATTAAGAGATTATAGGATCATAAAAAGGGAGTGTATGTATATATGTATTTGATTTTATTTGTCTCTTGTGAGATTGGTCTAAAGAGGTTTAGCCCAGGGAGGAAAGGAGGAGTTAAAATCTTTGATCATGCACAACCAGGAAGTAGCAATGTTGAAATTAATTCCATTTGTTTCCACAATAAACTACCCCTTACAGTTGATATAAGAATTTTACTAAAAGTGGTAAAATAAACATAGTCAAGGGAGCCTCTCTCCCAATTATTTAATGCCATTTATAGGTGGTCAAGAATAACACTGTATAGGTAACAGCTCACTATGAAAACAAGTTTTATCTATTTGAAATATTTACTCCCTCAAAGCAATGTAGAGATATCAGTTGTGAGACAGACAGCCAAAGATATGACATGAAAGGAAAAGCAATAAGAAGGAGAGAAACTGTTTAAAGTATGAGATCAGAAGATTGGCTACAGTGTCGTTTGTCACAGCATGTGGTAGCATTTAGCTGAGTTTGAGCTAACAAAAATTAAATAAGGTCAAATTTAGTTAGGATTTGAGTGAGGAATCTCGAAGCTGTGGGGGTAATTAGATATGTTCTCTCTTTTTCTCTCATGCACATATCAGGAAAAAAAGGCAACCGTGAAAAAACATATTTTTTGCCAAGAAAACAACATGGGCATTTCCAAGACGCCTCCCTGAACTGAAGGTTGACTGTGTTATGTAGCTTTCATTATCCTACCACTCATTCTTAACAGCAGGTGTGAGCATCGCTTGTCTTCTACATCTGCAGCCGCCTTACAACCGACAGCACTGAGCAAATTTCTGACGCTTCTGCTTTTACCACCTTCTGCTGTATCTGCAGGCATTTATGAGTAATAGAAAAAATTGTGAGCCACGATGGCGCAGTGATTAGAATGCAGGCTACTTCTGCTGGCTGCTGGCTGCAGTTCAGCCATTCGAATCTCACCAGCCTCAAAGTTGATTCAGCTTACCATCCTTCCAAGCAGAAGTGGTATTCTGCGCATGCGCAGAAGCGTTTTGATGACATCAGGGTCAGTGGGCGGAGCCTCCCGCCGGTTTTACTACTGGTTCTATAGAACCGGTGCGAACCGAGGGCAACCCACCACTGGGCTGGGCGCATGCGCGGAAGGCAGGCTCACAGGTTGGGCTGGGCGCATGCACACGAAACAAGCGTGCGTGCGGGGTGAACTGGTAGTAACATAATGTGAAACCCACCGCTGCTTCCAAGGTGGGTAAAATGAGGAGCCAGGTTGTTGGGGGCCATATGGTGACTCTGTAAACCGCTTAGAGAGGGCTGTAAAGCACTGTGAAGCAGTATATAAGTACTATTGCTATTCAGAAGCAATCCTCCTCTCTCTGTTCTGCCCCAGCTACACACACACACAGCTCCAAAAACTCCAATTAATACAAACAGACCCCTTTCAAAATGCAGGCTTTAACCATAAATGTCCTTATCAGCCTGCATGAATTACAAAGATTAAACAAAGTCTGACAAGGGTTGGCAATCAGCCCAGAAACCAAGTTGTAACAAAAAACTCATTCTCAAAATGCTCTGCGTTGTTTCCAGCAACATTTGCCAGCTATGTGCGAACTTAAATAGGCTAAGGGAGTGACCAATTAGCCCCAAGCCTTACTCTAGAGGAGACCTCCTCCTGAGTAGCCACTCCTGCCTTTTGGCAGCCCTGCATGCTCGAGCATTGAGAAGAGGCTCCTCCACTTCACTCTCTTCACTTGAAGGAACCTCTGGAGGTTCTGAAGGCCCTGGCTGAGTATCTGCCTCTGGCACCACATCCTCTTCAGCCTCCTCGCTTTCCGACTCAAGTGCCAGTTGCACAGGCTGCTGGCGCAACACCACATCAGCTTCCTCGTTGTCGGGATCAGCCACAATCCGCGCAGGCCACTGGCGGGCCACAACACTCTCATCTCATCTGCATTTATGTCCTTGCTTTGCTTTACCTCTGCTTTAGTTCATAGAACCATAAAGTTGGAAGACATCACAAGGATCATCTATTCCAATCCTTTGCAATGTTTTTTTTATATAATTGCTAGTGTTTTTCTCTTTTAAACAAATATAATGGTTTACTATAATTTTAGGTAAGGCTCCATAAAAATGAACATCTAATTAAATGGTATATTCTGGCAGACAGAATTTTTTAAAAATTTGATCGTTAAAGAATTGATTTTTTTTTTTTACTAATCAAATAGCAAAGCCTAACCAGCCTATAACAAATACTTTGGGAACAGATTACTAGATAGTCTGAGTTTAGGATTAATAATTTATGTATGTTATCAAGAGAGATGAAACCTTTTAAATCAGATGGCTTTCATTGGTAAATTTGTTGTAATTGCTGTATCTTCGTTGTTTTAAATTTTACATTGTTGATTCATTTATTGACAATTAATTAGATCTAAATTGCCTATGCACTGGAAGGTTGAAAAAGACAGACTGACATATTAAATGATCTTAAATGCACTCAACATTTAACAGATTAACAGAGTTAGAAGGGGCCTTGTAGGTCATCTAGTCCACCCCCCCACCCAAGCCGGAGACCCTATTACACCATTTCTGTCCAGTCTCTTCTTGAAAACTTCCAATGATGAACCTCCCACAACTTCTGAAGGCAAGCTGTTCCATGGGTTGATTGTTCTCACAGTCAGAAAATTTCTCCTTATTTCTAGGTTGAATCTCTCCTTGATCAGTTTCCATCCATCATTCTTTGTCTGGCCTTCAGGTGCTTTGGAAAATAGCTTGACTCCCTCTTCTTTGTGGCAACCTGTTAGATATTGCAATGCAACTATCATGTCTCCCCTGGTCCTTCTCTTCACTAGACTAGCCATGCCCAGTTCCTGCAACTGTTCATCATATATTTTAGCCTCCAGTACCGTAATCATCTTGGCTGCTTTTCTCTGCACTTTTTCTAGAGTCTCAGCATCTTTTTTATAGTGTGGTGACCAAAACTGGATGCAGTACTCTAGGTGTGGTCTTAATAAGGCTTTATAGAGTGGTATTAGTACCTCACTTGACCTTGATTGTACCCCTCTGTTGATGCACACTGTTGGCTCATATTTAACTGGTTGTCCACTAAGACTGCAAGATCCCTCTCATAGTTACTGCTATTAAGCCTGGTTTCATATATGTGTGTGACTATGTGCAGTTTTATAATATTACAATAGACTTTGTAGAACTTACAAAATGTTCTAATTTGGAAATCTATAGAATGTATCTCTTCCTTAATTCATGTAATTAATATAATTATGAACTATGGGGGCTAAATGCACTGGGGCAAAACTGTGATAGGCAATCAGAGTTTATCCACCAAGACTGACATGAGCCATGTCTCATGCTCTTCTCTTTTCCATTATGAATTAAGTTCTTCTCTCAACCTATTTCTGTCAGGGCAGAAACGTTCGTACACTTGAGAATCGTATTCCATTCCCAGAGCTATTATCAAAACTTGCAAGCTATTCCTGGAAGGATTCACAATCACAATCCCTCATGAATAAACATACCCATAATACTGGAGATGCCTGATTTGCAAAGATTACATGCAAGAAAAATAGTTTACATGTGGCAAGCTTTCCCAGCATTGAAAAGCTATCAGTGGGAGACGCGCACCTAGAAACAATCCTCCACCTTTTAACAAGCGTCACTGTGTGCCAGAGATGGTATTCAGCCAGTTCAGATCAGTTTGGGCGAACCGGTAGCAGCGACTGCAGGTGGGCTGGCCCACCTGTCCGGATGTAATGCCATCCTATTTAGTTACGTTTTCAAGGCCAGGTGCACGCGTGGAAAGCACACGTGCACAGCGAGCGTGCAGAAGGCCAGGGGCATGCATGGAAGGGGCACAAGAGAGAGTGAAGCGAGTGTGCCCGCGTGCGGTGGTAAGAATATGTGAAACCCACCGCTGCTGGGTGCCTGAAGAGCAAAGATAGGAAAACCCTTTCTGCTTCTTGTTTTCTCTGCTCTGTTTCCCTCTTCTTGGAAGCTCCTGCCGAAGACATGACATCAGTGCTTGGACAACTCAGAGCTCAAACTTCACATTCTTCTCACTGCATAAACAGGCCTGCTAACAGTTTTTAATGATATGTTTTGGTAACATTATCTTTGCCTTGTCCAGGAGCGGGCTTCAAAAATTTTAGCAAAGGGTTCTCTGCCTGGTTGCTGGGGGGCATGGCCATGGTGGGTATGGCTAGTTGGCCTCCTGCACCATGGCGGGGGGGGGGAATTTTTGCCCTCCCCAGGCTCTGGAGGCTTTCCTCGAGCCTCCGGGAGGGCGAAAACAGCCTTCCAGGCTCTGGAGGCCCTCTGGAGGCTGGAAACGGGCCCATTCTCATTTTTCGCCCTCCCCAAGCCTCTGTGCATGCCCTGCACTTACCTGCATCCAAAACGGACTGCACGGGGACTCCTGGGAAGGGAAGGGCGGGGTGGGTAGGGCCATCCAGGAGTGGGATTTGCGGATTCTCCAAACTGCACAGAATTTTAGCTAGAGGTTCTCCCGAACCCCTGCAAACCCCCAGCAGCCCACCCTTGGCCTTGTCCCAACCCAGATGGGAAGACAGCTTAAAGTCATCTTTAGTTATTCCAATTTTAGCTAAGAGCTGTTTGGCTCTTTGCAGACTTAGAATGATGTATGAGCATGCTTTAGGACTGGACTGGTGGTTAAAAGGAAGGACTGGTTCTTTAAAAAGTGCTAATCTGTGGTAAATCAATTTAAAGAAGAAAAGAGTGCCAGTTTCTGCTAGCTATTCTATCACCAATGAGGGCATGACAGATTTTTCAAGGGTTTTGGAGATTTTTGTTTTCATTTGAGTGAGATCGGGTGCAGGATGCCATTTTATCTGCTCCACAGGCTATTTCTGTATCCTTCCAACTTTGGAAGCTTCCTGCCAACATTGCCATGCCTTCACTACACCAACTCTGTGCTATCATTAGTTACTGCAACGCTCGTTATCAGTTGATCCTTCCTGCTTCATCCCATGACCTCTTCTGCTTCTGGTAGCCTGTCTGGTCACAGGGCAGAAGACACTGGGAGTGCCCCCAATGTTTCTTGTGACCTCCCCTCTGCACCTGCAGAATAGTGCCATTAACTGCTCTCAGAGGACCTCTGCATCTACAGCCTTTACATGAAGGACAGAATGCTTTCCTCCACATAATGACAGGCATGTCAGATGCAAGCTTTGTAGCAGAGTATGTGTCTTTAGATAATCTTAGTGGCCTGTTCATACTAGAGTCCAGGGGTCAGCAATCCACGGCTCTGGAGCCGCATGTGGCTCTTTCATCCCTCTGCTGCATCTCCCCATTGTTTAAAATATGCGTCACAACTACCAATGTGCGACACCCACCAATGCACAATTTATTAAGCTTTTCGACCCCTGGTAGGCCAACAATGGATAAATCCAAGAAAAGAAAAGTGTCAGAAGAAAACAGAATCTTGAATTCAACTATATATGCTAGTTTTGTGGCCACTCAGGAAATAGTCAGGGACGGGAAGAGTTTTGTGGCTCCTGATGTTTTCTTTTCTGTGGGAAATGGCTCTCTGAATGTTTAAGGTTGCCGACCCCTGTACTAGACAAATATGGACCCTGGTGAATGAACAAGATAATTCAAATCAGTGTTACCACAACATTTTCTCAATGGGATAGATGGATGGATGGATGGATGGAGGGAGGGAGGGAGGGAGGGAGGGAGGAAAGGAAGGAAGGAAGGAAGGAAGGAAGGAAGGAAGGAAGGAAGGAAGGAAAATCAAAACATTTTGAGATGGATTTGGTTTTACCCTGTTTCAACAAATTTAGTAGCAATTTCTCCTATTACAGCTCATTGAAGAAAGAGAATTGACTGTTTAATAAACATGCTAAGAACTGGAGTACTAGTAAAACCTATTATGGAGGTG